GCATCATCTGATAGAACAGAAGATGATATACTGATGTCAGACTAGATCCTTTGGAGGACAGCTGAACATTCTATAAATTGCAGGCAAATATATCAAGTGAATGAGATTTCATAAATTCTACTAAAAATTAAAACAATATAATGATCATTCGAAACCAACAATATCTGAATGTATATGTGATGTCCGTATGTCTAAAATATTCGAAACTTTCGGATATTTCTTAAGTAATGTATGCCAGTTGCCTTTTGATCATGTAGCCATGTTGATGCGGAGAAATTGAGTTAGGTACTGAGCGATAAATTACATCATACACAATAATCTCAAAGAACTCAACGTAATTTTATGATATTTCAATGGGTTTATAATTAGATATATTCGCTGAGTCACCTATTTTCGAAAAGGAGCAGTTTTTTGTTGCTTTCTACGATTGGAATATATCAGTGATCTACTGTGATTTTATTTATAATCTATGTAAGCTTCTTGGCACTATCTTTCCCAGTGGTAAACATAACGTGTTAGGAATCGAATGTTAAACGATAAGACCTCGTTAATCCGTATCTTGTACGAGTTTCGACTTTTGAAGGTTTTCGTTCGTAGGGGAGCAGTCTTCAACAGATAACAGATTTTAACAATTGAATTTAGGAAAATATTAATCCAATTATAAAGATGTGAAACTATTTTGAACTAGTAAAAACAATAATTGTGTGAAAAAGAAAAATATGTTATTATGGAAAAAAAACTTGAACGGTAAGATAAAGTAGAATTACAATGGAAGATTAGGTACTTAATATTTTGCGATGTGGTAACGATTATAATGAATCTTGATAAGTTGAAAGCTCGAAGTCTCCTAATTCGCTAAAGAAAACACTATTGACATAAATGAATTTACTCTAATAGTCGTGAAAGTTGTTCGATAAAGTAGAATCACAATGGAAGATTAGGTAATATTTTGCGATGTGGTAACGATTGTAATGAATCTTGATAAGTTGAAAGCTTGAAGTCTCCTAATTCGCTAAAGAAAACACTATTGACATAAATGAATTTACTCTAATAGTCGTGAAAGTTGTTCAATAAGAAAATCTGAAATATACTCACTGCGTGAAGTTAAAGTCAAGTTTGATAAAAAAACACACTAGTATTGGTTCATCAGAAGATGACACCTTTTGGAAACCGTGATTTTCTTGAATTAAACTGCTTGAGACTAACGTACCGTATGAATTACATCATCGTATACTTGTATATAAACCAAATCGACCCTTTTACTCAGGCACTGCTCTCAGGATGTTTCATAACTTTCCTGTATTGCTTGTAAATTTCCACAAAAGAAACATTAAGAAGTTATGATTGGTTGTGAAACAAAAAACTTTTGACAATAAAAAGTTTTGATAATAGACGGCACCGCAAACCTAACCACTGAATGAAAAATGCTATGAAAAAATCAAAATTTGTTCAACTTCCTTTGACCAGAATCAATTGTAGCGGTTACCATCGAGTAAATAGTTACTCTTGTCTAAGAGTCATCAAAGAACTCGAATGTCACCTAAATGAATACAATAATATTATAGTAATGACAGCGAACATCATCAATCAGATAAACCTTCGATGAGTGGCAGTATCAACACGCCATTACGCAGTCTTAAACAAAATCTTCTCGGTTATTGTCGTTACTATCCGCAGCTGTATTTTATGTTTGAATGTATGCGCACAAACATGTAACTGACGTAACGTGAACACCATTATGTAAAATAACTTCTCAATTAAGTTAAAAAATAGCCAGCGAGGATTGACAAGTAACATTAAGATTCACATCTAGGCATTCCATGTGTAACTCGACATGCATCTGGTTGCAAAATGCGAGTGGAGAAGGTTGGAAATAGTCCGGCAGCCAAGCAGTGATTTTACTGGCACATTCTGAACCCAATATGGCGTACATGGCGAATTATAATTTCCTTAGAAATCCATGAATAACTAACAGAAAATGAATGCCATAATAATGATGTATTACCTGGAATCGAAATATTATGCTGTATAAACTGAATATTGTTAAATTGAATAATATCAAATATTACTTTTTAAAACAAATTCGTTTGTAAGTTTCTGGCAAGATTGCATCCTTTGATTCAATCCCATATCTTCATGGATTGAGTATAGGTGTGACATTTGGCAGATTCCATAATTGTCGAAGTCATCAGGCTGTGGGTGCCGCTGGGTCCTAAAATTCTTAGTCCAGCCGCTTCCTTGGCTAATGAGTTGGCAATGCGGCTATACTTTTACTCCTGTCGTGCCCTTTAACCCACCTCAGGATAATGTTATTATCTACCAAGGCTTTGGCTAAATCTTGATGGCACTCTATTACTAGCCCTGAGGTAACACGTTATCTGTTCAAGGCTAATAGGGCTTGTCTGCTGTTAGTGCAGATTGTTACGTTTTTGCCAGAAAGTCCTTTCCTGGTTATTTCTTTTGTGGCGATTGAGATACCAGCCAGTTCTGTTTGGACCACGCTGGTATTTTTTCCCATTCTCCACGTAATCCTTAGGCTTAGTGGCCTGGATGGAGTACGTTCCACATCCTGAGCCTTCTTTGGTTTCTGAGTCGTCTGTATATATGCGTATTGCATTTGTAGCATTTACTCTGTGCTCTGTTTAATTTGTATTTTGCAGGATTTATTAAACACAAACCTGGGTTCAATTGCATCACTATGCTCACCTATGCTTACTCACTTTCAACATTAGCATCATCATTGATATAAGTTCAATAATGTACTCGTATTTGAAGTTTTGCTAGAAGTTTGTGACACAAATCACAAACTTAATAAATACTAACTACATAATCGAATATTTTATATTCAGTATGTATTATCTTCAGTCCGTCAGAATGTATCTAATCACCAAAAATTTGAAAAAATTGAATGAAAACTAGTTCAAATGCCAACTATACCAATGTTTTGTTGTCTAGTTGATGAGTCAAAACTCAAATGCCAAATCTGAAATTTTTTATCTTCAGGAAGGCGAAAGTTGTACGTAACCCCTCACCATTTACTTTCAAAATACTCAACACGTAGCTTCTAAACGCATAAAAGAAACGTTTTCATGATTCATCTAAACCACTGAAAAGTATGCTTCAGTAATTTCAATAAATATCTATTTTGAATGGTGGAATAAAGCAGAATCAAACATTCTCCAATTTCGCTTTTAACCACTCAACTATACATGGGTAAAAATTCAACCGATGAATCACGTTCGTTCAAATAATTATTTCACAATGACGGTACGCAATTAATATCGAATCAGGATTGCGAGCTACTCGTTACTTTTGTCAAATTTCAATTACTTCAATAGCCATCCACAACCTTTCGATGGGACAGTTATTGCGACTGATTACTCGGTTCTCTCCAGCTTAGTAATTGAAACGGTCAAAAGAATGTAGGAATTCCAAAGAGTGGCACAAATTAAGATATATATTTCAACCGTTTAATTATTCCCCGTTCAGCTACTTATTATAATCAGAGTCAATTAAGGTAACTGAAAATATTTGAAAAACTGTGTGTGTCAAGTTGCCTTCAACAAAACATGTTTTTATTCCTTTTTTGATTCAAATATGTTAATTTTCAACAAAATTACTGTTCCTTCATACACGATGTCAGTTTTGCCTGTCCATTCAAAAAAGTATTGTCACCTGGTATGAGGGGATAATCATTCAATTCTACTATCAACATAGTTATGATGTTGAACCAAGTAATAGTTGAAATGAACGAATAGCAAGATTACAGTTTGGTAAGTTTACTCAACAAGACTTAAAGACTAATAAATCTCAATATGAGAGTACATTTGAAGCGAAAAACATACATATTAGTTGCAGATTTTGGTTTATAGGTTACTGTAGAGGACGAGTTCTGAGCGAAACCCGAAAGAAAACGCACAAGAACTTCCGAAAAACATTTTACCACATTTCTGCGGTTTTAACAGAAGACAAATCTATCTGAAACGAAAAACTTGCTCTCCGAATTGCCTCCGTAGAATTTCGTATCGTGCTGCGCTTGTTTTTCGCTTCCGAGACACTTCCACTACCTTCAAAGAGGTTTGAGGTTACTTAGTGGGATGTCGCGTTGAATATTTCGTCTTTAGCGAACAATCCGGAGGTTACGAAGTGAATCACAACTTCCACAGAGGCAACATACATTTTCGTTTGCCCAGTTATGAAGAACTACAAGATTACTGAGGTGCCTGGAATCCTAAATTCTACTCTATCTTTAAAGAGCTTCAACTTTTTTTTCTACTTTATTTGAACTGTAATTGGATTCTCTCTGTGCAGACCTCTCAAGGTTGCAAGGTGAAAGATGTGACCTCTGATACTTCATCCTATGTTTCATTAAATACCAGTAGGATTGCCTTCAGGCAAATTGCTTCTTCACAAAATCATTGGCTTTGTGTAACTACAAAGCTTTGGCAACCTGCAGGTTCGAGATATTCGGGAGCATATGCACTAAACGATAAATGATGAGTTAAAATTGAGCAATGAAGAAATTAAACCTAGAGAACAAAATGAAAAAAATTATTCGAAATTTATTCTAGTAAAAGTTGATGGTGAGATTTCCACTGAATAATTACGAAAACCACAAAACATGTTTCGCTAAACAATCTTTTTTTCAGTCGTACTCATAGTGACTCAGTCAGCTTGATGAAGCTACTGTATAGCGTGTTGCGGTTTTGTAAATTGTTCAGTGAAAATCTCACAATGAAGTGTTACCTAAATACATTCTGGATTATCATCAAGTATTGGCCAATATTTTCACATACTACATGGGCTGGAAAGTCTCGGGTCCAACACATAGATGGCACTAGTTTCACTGCATTCACCGCTTTTCCAGTTAGTACTAACATTCAAAAAGAGCTGTTGAAATTTCATGATATTCTTCTCATAAGTTTGTGAAATATTATGCTGAGAGTGACAATACTTTTGTTATTTTCAAAACAATGGATCACAAAATTGAAAAAATCCTTTGTCACATAGTTAAAAAACTTGTACTCTAATCGAAGAGTCCAAGACCCATATCATCATCAGACTCTTTTTCTTTCTTCTTTTCACTTCCTACTCCAGAACCAATGTTGGTGATCAGTTCCCTGACGTTGATTCCTTCTAGCGCTTTCGCAAAAAGACCAGGCCAGTATGGTTGTACGTCAACGATGGCTGATTTGAGGATGGTCTGGATTTTCTCACCAGTTACTGCAATGTCATCATCAACCAGAATTAGGGCTGAGTAGACGCAAGCAAGTTCGGCGTTGGAAGTCATTTTTCAAAAACACTACATTATTTCTTGATGGTAAAAAATACCGTTCAAGCGAAGCAATGGCTTGAAAAGTGGCATCCGGATTCCTCTCTATTAGAAACAATGATCAAACGTTGGTTTGTTGACTTCAAACGTGATCTTAGAGACACCGATGATGCAGTAGACGTCCAAATGAGGCAGTAACATCAGAAAACATTAAATAAATTCACAAAATCGTTCTGAATGATCGAAAAGTGAAGTTGCGTGAGTTAAATGACATTGTAAAGATATCTATCAAAAGAACGTGTTGGCTTTATATTACATGAGCATTTGACTATGAGAAAGCTATCTTCAAAGTAAGTCTTGATGATTCTGAGCAGTGTTTGGACACGTTTGAAAATGATAAACCGGAATTTAAGCGTCGATAAGTGACAAAGGATGAAACATTGTTTCATAACTTCGCTACGGAATCAAAACGATCTTCATGTGGGTGGAGAACAAGTGGTGAACCACGTCCAAAACGCCCGAAAGCACAACAATCGGCTGGAAGGGTTAATATTCATCGACTATCTTGAGAAGAGAAATGATATCAACAGTGAATATTATATAACGATATTGGAGCATTTTAATGTGGAAATTGCAAAGAAATGACCGCATATGGCAAAGAAAAAAATTGTTTCATCAAGGCAACGCACCGTGTCACAAGTCAATCAAAAGAATGTCAACATTACATGAATTGGGGTTCTAATTGCTTTCGCTACCACTGTATTCTGCAGGTCTGGCCCCCAGCGACTTTTTCTGTTCGCAGACCTCAAAAAAAATCATACCAGTAAGAAATTTTGCTAGAATGAAAATGTTATTGCTAAAACAACAGTTGAGGTCTCATAAATCGTTTTACAAAAGTGGTATTGAAATTTTAGTGCGTCGCTTGAATGATTGTGTGGCTCTTGATGGAGATTACGTTGATGAATGAAGCCGATTTTAAACAAAAAAACGCGTTTTATTTCTCAGGCCCGGGACTTCTCAGCCCGGCTGTTATTTTGAAATTGTTTACAATAGTCCAAAGATCCTCAAATACGGAACTATTTATAAGTTGAAGGTCTGGTTTCTCAATAACCAAAATTTTACAAAAAAAACAATAATAATATTCATATTTTCTCACCAGTTACTGCAATGTCATCATCAACCAGAATTAGGGCTGAGTAGACGCAAGCAAGTTCGGCGTTGGAAGTCATTTTTCAAAAACAATACATTATTTCTTGATGGTAAGGCACGAGATCAAGTGATCATATTTTTTGCGGTAGAGTTGCTTGGTGAATTTTCGGTTTTCAACCTTCCACATTCTAAAAAATAAAGAATTATAGGTCAACAGGGAATCTGCGCAAATGAAAAGTTCATAATAAGCACGATTGAAATAGTGAATTTATTTTTCTGCTCGTTGTTATGAATCGCACGTTGGAAGGTAATATTTCGTTAGCCCTCATATCGCACATGTTTTGGCTTTTGAGGGTTACCGTTTATCTGGGAACGATTCTATTTCTAATCTAATATTTCTAATCTATAGAAACTTCTGAACAATACGACTTAAAAGTTCAGAACAAAATGCAAACATTTCGACACATTTTTCATGCGAACTCAAACTGAATGCAATAATGAGTCACCACTATATTTAAATATTTCAAACTTTCCAATTGTGGAATGAATGTTCAAGAAATCGGTTGTCAGTTCCTTGCCAAGATATAATTTCTTTTCATTTTCCAGAACTCTATATTAATGAAAACAGTTTTTTCAGGGGAAGGTGGATCTCACGTCGGATCTTCTTCTAGTGATGGTGAGTTTAAATCAAATATTTATGTTTTTATATATCTGTTCGTCTCTCATAACTAACAACAATAACGAATAATAATGATATTCAACAAGATATTCAATAGGATCACGGACAGTAAAAACGAAAAGTCTTGAAAAATATATTTGATTTTCAGTCTGTTTCTAATCACGGATTAACCGGTGATAGAATCAGGTTGAAAATGAAGTGTATTTCGAACAATCAATTTGTCAACCTCTTTGGAATTAATTATATCTCAGATAGGTTATTGTAATGGTACGTTTCATCAATTGTTATTTGTTTGATTATTTCGTGATGGAGGTATTAGAGATCTGATTGTGTAATTATCCCCTGTCTTTTTGTTGTATTTGCGAGTTTAATGGTAGACAGAAAATCGCAAATAACCAAGTACAAGGTATTGCACCATCTATAAGTAGCTGGCTATGAAAATGAGTATGTAGTTAGCATAAATTGATATTTCTTTGATAGTCAGTTTGAATCTGTTACGAAATGTTGTTGGAATACATGCATGAGATTGAACCTGAGTGTTTTAATGAGCTGGACATTATACTTACAATTTCAATTCAAATTATTTATGGTCGACTATTTGACTGAGTTTAATAAGGAATATTGATATTACAGTTTGATTTTAGAGTCGATAAACTTCAAAATAATTCCCGTTCAACATGAAATAGAGTAATTATAGTTTATATTTGTACATGAAGGAAAACTGAAGAGTAGATGTAGGAATTTTCTTTCAAACGTTGTTATTTCTTTCAATTATTTCGGAAGCTATGACTTTTATGAATCAAATTTATCCAAAGGAAAACTCAATTGATGATAATTATGACAGAAAACATCAAATAATGACTGTATTATATTTTAAGGTATATTTCAGGAAGAAACAGAATTGTTTTAATCATTATTGGCTAGTAATAATTGACACGTTCGATTACTTCAAACTCTTGTTTTCAAACGCCGTTTTCCCAATATTTTGATTGGTATTTACACAATTAGTTGCTACAATGGCTAATATGTCACCACACAAGGATATAAAGCAGATAGGATCGCTTTAGACGTGGGGTTGCGGTTTGTGCCTAACTAGCCAATTAACCGGCCCTAATTGTAATAGCAACGCTACATTTGTTTTGTAATTAGATACAAGATTATTTTGGTTGATATCATTGTGTAGGTTGTCAATAATCGGATATTAATTTAATCGGTAAATGATAAGTCGTTGATTGGAATGACTTGAAAGTTGCAGAATCATAGTTCATCTTTCAGAGACCAGTGTCTGGTTTACTTGACCATTTTTTATCGAAGAAAATAACCTCAAGCTGATGTATGTTCAAAGTTGATTCGAATGAGCGAGGTTATTGATACTTATTCTTGTCGTATGAGACAAAACATTTCAAATTACGGAAAATCTGAATGAAAATCAAACTTCGTCAATCAATATGTCAGGTATATTAATTACATTACTACAAATTTTGTCAAATGCAACTGAGTTGTAGTAATATTGCCATAAATTCGGCTCAGAACCCACCAAGATATGACGTTTAGAATTTGGGCTAATACCTAGTGGAAATATGTACTTTCCATTACGTCATTATTCAGTGTTGAAATTGTACAAAAAATTAATAACTTGTTATATAGTAAATTCAGATGAATTGATATGGATGGGTGGGAATTACTATATGTAATATACGAACTATTGAATACTGATAGGGAAGAATACGTCAGAATAAGTAGTTTAGTCGAATCTAATTTCGTTCATTATTTATATATTTCAATAGCGCTTATTGAATAGGACAATGACAAAAATTTCATTTCCATACCGACTTGGAAACTGTACAGTTGTTGGGTGATAGTGACATGTCACGGGATATGTACAATTGTCGGTACAACACCGTCTCCAAACTGTTACAAAGGAAATGTCTCAACATTCTAGGTTTGAAGATGATATCAACCCAGGAAAGCTGTATTAAGATTATTTCAAGTAATTCACCACAAGTGGTAACAATCTATGTCTCAGATCGTAACGCATGTGAATGATCTAGCGCAGCTACTTATCTGCGCGAAATTCGAAAGAAAAATCGATCAATGCAATGAGGCAAGCAAGAATGGTCTAGAAGTCTGGAAGTAAACCAAATGAGAAGAAATACTAATTTTTTTTGGAGATGTGTTCACACATATGAGTACCTGGAAGTGATGATGAATTTATTAAACCACAAAAATATCGAACTAAATAAAACCATTATGGGGATGAAAAGAGCCTATTGGGAACATCATAAACTTATAAATGTCATAAAGTCAACTTGAAAAAATAAATTTGAAAAGATACAGGGCAGCAATTTGGTACGTAATCATTTAGGGCTCTAGACAATTCATTTAACATGGAAAGGTGGGTGACAATTTAGATTTCTAGAAGGAAAGTTATAAAAATAACGAAACGGTAGAAATGGGGACTGTAGAATTTAGAGAAGTGATAGATGAACCATGAAAATGAAAGTTTTCATGAAGGAGGAATACGCCAATAGAATCATAAAAAGTCAAAGACGTACATAGTGGGCACCTAGACCAAGAAGAAACCCCACAGTCAGATAAGAAAACCAAGGAAGACAAGAGTAACTTGGGATTAGAAACTAGGGAGATGTAGGAACAAAATGATGAAAAATAGTATTGATGTTGAAGCCAAACTAAGAATTAGAATTATTGGGATCTCAATAAGTACTAGTTTTTTAACTTCAGTAGTGGGCAGGGTTGAGTTTAAACTGTAAAAGAACAAAATTGTAGAAACGTTCCCCATAAGTATTGGAAATTGTCAGCTACTGACCTCTATTGGAGAAGACGATCAACAATCCTGATATGTTCATCAAATGCACTTTCTCCGCAATAACGTAGTTTTTATCCGTTCCATCGTCTCTACCTATCCTAGATCTCGGCTGGGATCAACAATTTCCTTTTGTTTCGCTCACCGCAAAGACTTGCTGTATTAATAGATATACATTAACTTAAAAATCGATCCACTTTCTACTTCATATTCCCGTTAATTAGCAATTCACTCCTACACAGCGTACGAAGTCGCGATTTTGCTTTATTTTGCGAAGCAAACTACCGCAATCCATTCCTCATGATTATTTACACTCGTTGGACCAATGGCAGGCTCTGTGAGCGGCGCAAAGACCAAAGTTATTATAAGCTGACAGTTAGAGATATGTGGCTTCGATATAAATAGTTATAAAACATTCATCTGGTGGGTTCGGTCACAAATAATATTGAATTTATGTCAACAACGGCAGCATGCGACGTTCTCTCGCGTGTTTACCAATACTTTGGGATTATGTAAAGTTGACGGATATTTCTTGCCTATTATCATTTATTGCTACATAATATTTCGACGGATGTGTCGTCATATTCCTCGAAATACTCATAATTATTGTATGACAACTGACAACTGGTCTGCTCTTATGAATTAAGAGTTGATCACTTCAAGATTTCGATCTGTTTGTCATTGTCAAACTTCCATTTCCAATATTTCAATTTTTTATTTAAATTTTTGGAATATCATATTAACTTTTAGCAGCAACAATCTACAAATCTCATAGATGCTAGTGATCGGGTTCCAATAGCTGATTAATATGTGGTCCCTATGATTTTCATTGCCTGGAATAGGTAGAGATTGAACCTGCTGAAAGTAGTAAAGTGTGTATTTACCGTCATCACTCAAGCTTTCTCTGGTGCAAAATTATCTACTAAACAAAATCTGGATGAGAGAACTTTTCCTGAAATTGATAAGCATGAATACATGTATATGTTACCGGCCAAATCCGATTTAAGGCCAAACTAGTTTTACCTAGGCTAAACTAGTTTATCCTATATGCGATCGGATAAACCGGTACAGACTAGGCCTGTCCTAAGGGTGATAGGAGAAACTAGTTTAACCTAGGAGGAACTGGTTGGGCCTAATATGAATAAGTACACTTCAGGATAAACTAGTCAAAGCGCACACGTTTTTTTCACAATAATACTAGTATTTTCGTTCGTTATTGTTTTGAGCTTATTAAAAAAAATTATTTTGAACTTTTTACTTTGATGTTCTTCAAAAAAGTTCTAGTCACTAGTATTATAAATCTTTAACAGACGGCGCACGAAGACGGCATAAAATTCCTCTCAAACATCATAATAAAGTTTGAGCATTGGTTTGAGGTCATTATTATATCTTCGACAATATCTTTTAAGTTGTGTATCTTATATTTCTTAGAATAGTAACACTTTGTCGATGAGGTTTCATCTTCAACAATAAAGTACATTTTGATTTGATTTGATTGCAATAATGGATAGTTACGTACAGCGCCATCTGTTCGCAAATAGATCAAGCAATAATTGATAGTTACGTACACCGCCATCTGCCCGCGAATAGATCAAGAAATATCAAACAGGCTACGAACAGCGCCATCTGCCCGCGAATAGATCAAGCAATGATGCCGATAATTCTGTCAATACAGATCATGATCTTGAGAGTTACACACAAACATGCATACAACCAATCATACATACATACATACATACATACATACATACATGCATGCATACATACATACATACATACATACATACATACATACATACATACATACATACATACATACATACATACATACATACATACATACATACATACATACATACATACATACATACATACATACATACATACATACATACATACATACATACATACATACAAAAATACATACATACATACATATATACAGGTGAAGCTAATATAAAGCGTGTAAAAATAAGTTCTGTCTTACATGGCCTTAATGATGACCTGATTATCTGGTTCTTCTGGTCAGAATTGAATCATATGTTGAAGAGTACTTCGGAACAAATGGGACATAATATTTCCAATTACATGTAGTTGAAATTATTCTAAGAAACCCAAAATCAGTCAGTGGCATTGAAAGAAATGAATCATCAATTTTTTGGTGTATCCAAAG